CTTTCTCTCTGTATCTCTCTCACTGTCTATAACTCTCTCTCTCTCGGCCAGCGCCGCGGCTCACTAGGCTAATCCTCCGCCTAGCGGCGCCGGCACACCGGGTTCTAGTCCCGGTCGGGGCGCCAGATTCTGTCCCGGTTGTCCCTCTTCCAAGCCAGCCCTCTGCTGTGGCCAGGGAGTGCAGTGGAGGATGGCCCAGGTGCTTGGGCCCTGCACCCCATGGGAGACCAGGAAAAGCACCTGGCTCCTGGCTCCTGCCTTCGGATCAGCGCGGTGCGCTGGCCGCAGCGCGCCGGCCGCGGCGGCCATTGGAGGGTGAACCAACGGCAAAGGAAGACCTTTCTCTCTGTCTCTCTCTCTCACTGTCCACTCTGCCTGTCAAAAATAAAAAAAATAAATAAAAATAAAAAAAAATAAAAATAAAAAAAAACTCTCTCTCTCTCTCTCTCTCTCACTGTCTAACTCTGCCTGGCCAAAAAAAAAAAAAAAAAAAAAAACTGAAAATGAGCAGACTTCAAAAAAAAAAAAAAAAACAAAGGGCAAAAATGGGTATTTCTGTCAGATTACTGATGCCAGTAATCACAAAATCTAAGCATAGTACATTGCCACAGGACACTGGCATCAAGGAATGGTCAACTTGTACAGCAAGTTGACCAAGTTATTTGATTGAACATAATGACATTTAGTCAAATTCTGAAATCATCCAAGAAAACAAACAGGCAAGAAGACCCGTGGCACAGCTCTAAGCTCTGGGTATCTTTATTATGCCTTTTCATACCTTAGGTGGCATAGGAGAAATAGGTGGATTAGCTGAAATCTAATCTCTGCCTTTCTGAAGAAATGTCTGCTTACCCCAGCACATAGCTTTCATCTATGGGGTCATTCCCCATATGCCTGCAACAGCTGGAACTGAGCCATTTCAAATTCAAAAGGCCAGAACTCAGTCTAGCTCTTCCATGTGGGTGGCAGGAACTCGACTACTCTGCGTTCAGCTAAGCAGCCTTTTAATCTTCAGTTTCATAATCAATAGAGTTGAAGAATGAGATTGAATAATTCAGGTAATTCCTCAATAACTAGCACATTAGAATCAGCTTCCTATATTAGCAGATTGGAATCAAGTTACTCCTACTTTTTTTCCCTTCAGATTTGCCAGTTCAGAAAACACAACATAACAGAAAATGACACAGCGACAGCTCCCAACGAAGAAACCTAAATCATCATCACCATCATCATCAGTGTTACTGTCACTGGTATTCTTATTATTGTGTTCACCACAACATGACATAATATTTCTCTAGGTTTCAATTCCCATTTCTTAGAGCAGGAAATTTAGTGTACTTGGGGTTACAGTATTTGACCTGAACAAAGAACTTAGCTCTTACAAACAAATCCTTATATGAAGATCTATTTGTATATTATCTTGGTGCATATATCCTAAGGAAACCACATCACCCCCCTCCTTTTCATTTATTTATTTTGTGTATTTGAAAAGCAAAATGAGAGAGATAGAGAGAAAGAGTGAGAGAGAAAGAGAGAGATTGCCCATTGCACCCCATCCTATCTATCCATTCACTTCCAAAATGCTTTCAATAGCTCCGGCTGGGCCAAGTTGAATCTGGGAGCTAGGAACTCAATCCTGGTCTCCAATTACTATCAGGGACTCAACTATTTAAGCCTTTACTACTGCTCTCCAGGTGTGCATTATCTGGAAACTGGAGTCACAAGCAAAGTGAAGACTCTACCGACAGCACTCAGATATGGGATGCTGGCATCCCAAGAAGAGGCTTCACTGTTCTGTCAAATACCTGTTCCCACCCAGCTTTCTGGAAATATCTTCTATCACTTAAAATTAAGACAAAATTACTACATATGTATTGTAATAAAGACAAGGATGAAAATTGGTAATTGGCATTTACAATAGATTTCATTCAACTCAACTTTCTACATAAGTCATTGTTTGCTCACTTTCTCAATTGATCTGCTTCTCATTCTGAAGGGTATTTGCACCTGTCTCCAGGCTTCACTGCTGTTTGCTAGATGTCAAAAGATACCTGCACCAGAGGTCTCTGGAACTCTCTGAAGAGGCATAGTAAACATTAGTGATTCTTTGCTAAGATACCATCTTTCTTTTATTGCCTTATCCAAGTTTAAGCTCATTTTTTTTCCCTTTCAGATAAACATGTAAAGTCATGTTATATAGAAGGGTTAAAAACAACACCCTTTCACTATGCTAGTTTTGAAGGAAACACTGCCAGTTAATGTAACATAGAATAAAATACATAGAGCAGTGACAAGAAAGCAATGTGCTGTGAAGGAAGAGAGAAAGCTGATCATAGGCTGCCCTCTCTCACACACAGTAGGGGCAGCCTCGCTCACTGCTGCAGCTAAAATTCCCTAACATGAGTATAAGAGCCTTTGTTGTTTTACCCGTTTATGGCTGCATTTCTGGTCCTTAAATGCCTCATCCCACATTGCTTCTCCTCATCTTATTATTGAGGCTGCAGCTTTGCTAAATGATGTGAAGGGTTCAGAAAACACCCTATGCCCAAGGTCAATTCCAGCCTCTGCTCATGTTGCCTGGGGTGCCTAGAGGTCCTTCCTGTCCTTCTTTCCTTCCCCAACAAGTTTTTTTTCTTTGGCAATCAGAGGTCACGTATCTGAAAACATCAATATCCAGAACATTGACTAGAATCTGGCATGAAATATAAATAGGTCCCCACCTAAGCTAAAATCAATTTCACAAAGACTAAAAAGAGACTTGACTTGGATCCTATTAGCTTTAACGTGAGAATCATTACCTGGTTTCTATGTTTGTAACAGATCAGAAATAGCAACATAGAAAAAAGAGCTGAATTTATAGAGAAGCACCAGTTATTAGCAAGAGTCAGAAGATGAGAAGCTGGGGAGTAGTAAAGGAGATACAGGGAAAAATTTAGAACCCTTACAAAATACGCATTATAAAATCATCTAAAATTTCCAGTAACAGTTAAGTGATATTTAGAAGGGATACATTGGTAGGAGACTTTTTAAAAGATTCCGGGAAGATTGTGATAAAATGTTTAAAACATCATGAAAAGACTGTAAGGTAAAGAATAGGGCTTTTATCCAAAGGATTAAACTTACGTAAAATAGTTGCATAATTCTAGATAAATTATAGAAATGCCTTATTTGGAAGTCACAATTCAGAAAAACAGTGTTGTTCTTTGTTAGTGGAAGATTCCAAAGAATCAATGGCCATATCTCCCTTTTCTTTGTTATATTAAACTTGGCACTATTTTTTCAAAGGGAAAAAATTTATATGGCATTTTTGAACTGTTAGCTTCAGCTCTACCAATTTACATTTACATTAAAAATGTGATAAGTATAGGTTGTCAACCATGAGAGCAATTTGCTTAAGGTATATTCTGATGTCTTAGCATAGATGTTTTATGATGTAAAAATACCTATATAGCTATTAAAGCAATAATGTCGGGAACCTGGGACTTACCAGGTTTTCTGATAGTCCATGTTGTAAGAATGGATGATAATTAACTTGACTGAGAATAATGATAGGCTCAAAGAACATTCCATGCCTTGCAATGGTGCCAGTGAAAGATTTAGGAAAAGGGACATTTGTTCATTTGCTTTCATTAACGACGTTTCAGTTTTAAAAAAGTACATAGAATTTCTGGCATTGTCACAGAAAGGGAGACAATATTCTCATGAGGAGTGACCCTCCGCCTCCATTAGCGAGGTGTTTCTTTGCCAGGTGAGTGATATCTCTACTTGTTTCCTTCTGAGCTAGCACTAGGAAAGTATTAGCATTTCACTGCCTGTTACCAGACGGGTGAAAACTGAGTTCCCTCTGTGATTCACACTCTGCTTTTTCATTTCTCCACTCTGACCTGCTTACATGTAAGCTATTTCTGTGATTTAAGGTTCTCCTTGTAGTTATTTCTCAGTACCAAAGCAAAAACAAAATATCTTATCTGTCCTTTTATAAAATTGATGAAATAAACACATGGAAGAAGAATAAAAATGTGTGTTTTCTATAGCAACTTACTGTTTCCCTTCCCAAAAGGGTGAAACCTCTAAAGAATGGACTTTCAAATAGCAATCATCTCTTGCATGCCAGGGAAATTTATAATAAATTTAGAAAATTATCCTATAATAGGTCCCCAATCAATAGCCTAGTATTATCTGTTCCTTTTCTAATACTACCTAGAGCCATTTGAATTTGAAAAATATTGGAGCCTCATTGCTCCTAACACTGAAGTACCCGGAGCTGACCAAGGCTGTTCAAAATGCAGCTTGTGTCAGTTTAGGGAGCTCTTTTCTCAAACCTGTTGCTTTCCCATACTTCAAATAGGATCTGGTAGCAGAAGCAACTATAGAAAAGTTACAGCCTTGGGCCCTTGTTGTGGTGCCCGCAACACCAGCATCTCATATCATAACATCCGTCCTAGTTGGCTCTGTGATCCAACTGCCTGCTAATGTGCCTGGGAAGGCCACAGAAAATGGCCCACATGGGAGACCTACATGTAGTTCCTGGCCCCTGGATGCAGCCTGGCTCAGCTGGGACCAATGAGGCCATTTGGGGAGTGAGCCGGCAGATGAAAGACCTTTCTCTCTCTCTCTCTGGCTGCAACTCTGCCTCTAAAATAAATAAATTTTTTTAAAAAGTAAGAAAAAAAAAACACAGCCTTTTGTAAGCAGAGTCTCCAAGTGTGGTTGGTTCTGCTGGGGTTATAGTTCAAAGACTAAAGTTTGATTCTAGGGCTCCCCAATTCACCTTACAAGTTGTGTGACCATGAGCTATTTACAGAACTTCTCTGCATTTCCATATCCTCACTGATAAAACACATACAGTAACAGTACCACGTGTGTATGTAGGTACCATGGATATGAAAGCTCTTGGGAGAAATGCCTGAGAATTCATATTAAATAAATGTCAGTTATTTCTATGATTCAGATAATTAGTTATCAGAAAACAAAGTACTGGTAAAATTGAAAAATCACTTGTGTAACCTTCCCTCGTTACTTTTTACACATAACGAGAGTATATAATTATATCTGAATTCTCTTTTAATGAAGTTTTGCTGAGGTCAGCTCAGGAAGAGGTCTGGGTATTTTGTGAGTGTGTTTTAAGCCAAGTGAGGAAAATCGAAGAATGTGCGTGAGTTCTGGAAATGCCATCGCTGACAGGGACGCCATCGGGTGCCCATCACCTCTGAGAACAATGCCCAGTGCGCATCCAGGTAAGATCAGGAATTTTAATGAGTTCCAAGTGGCTTCCTCTCAGACAGAAATATTTGTTTCTGCTTCCCTTCCCAAGGAGGAAACGGAAGTGATTCAGCAGTTGGGTTAATTTGTGACTGGAGAGCCAGCTCAGGTGAATGCAATGATTAATCTGGGAGTGAAAGGAAACACGTGAACTCTGCGTGCATTCTAACTCAGGTTTCTGAGGTCACCTGACCCAGCTCAATGCAAAACCTCTTCATTCAAAATGCCTTTACATCAAGCAACGCGAGAAATGTAGAAACCTACCAAATAAAGAAAAGTGAAAACTTAGAAGTTGGGAGCACAGGTTCCCAGCTGTTGGCAAAGGGGTGTTGAGATCCTCACAAAAACGAAATGTTGCTAACCGGGGCCAAGAGATACCACAACTATTAGCATCTCTTCTGCTCCTAGCACAGAGAAGAGTCCTGAGTGCCTATGTCCATTTTTGACTATTTGAATCTCCTCTTTGTATTTTCTAGAAAATAAAAGTGAGGCATGATGTCACTATCTCACATGTCCCAATCTGGCTTCAGAACCAACTTCCTTGACACGTGGCTACTTCGCCACCTACATAGAGGATTCTGGGTGAGGAAGAATATGGAGATTTCATTTTACAGATGAAGAGGTGAGCACCCCGAGTGGGTTACTGGTTACCTGGGGTTAAACTGCTGTTAGCATAAATGAGCAAGAATCAGGATTTCTGATCCTACTTCCAGAGTTTTTGGCTAATTCAATATCTAATATTTGCATATTTCCCGATTTTTTGCTTTTTCATATTTGTAAAAATTTTATCATATAAAACAGTACAGATTTATGGGGTATTCTTGATTTTTGGTGCATGTATACATTGTGTACTGTCCAATCAGGATAATGATACAATGAAAACATATGAAATCCTTTCTTCTAATTAGTGTGTTTTTTCTTTAAAGAGAAATTTATATTTTAGGAGGAAACTGTAGTATTTTCAAAATGTCTTAGATCCTTGCCATTCTCTGTTCACTCTGTTCATATAACTCATCCTTTTTAAAATAGGAATACATAAGACATTATTCTAAAGGTTGCAGTCTTACCATTTAATGCCAGATGAATTAATATTTCTTAACTACTAAATGGAGAGATTAGCTGTGAGTTCTTGATATTCTGTTTGGTGAAGAAGGACCTAACAGAAAAATAGGGTTTAGACTGTGTTTGTTTTTATTTTTAATTTGTTTTCGCTTGCAAAATATTTCAAACATACACAAAGATACAGAATATTTTATTCATGAAAGTATCCATGTGAAAAAAAATCACTGTTAAACACATTAATATTTTGTTGTATGTAGTTTAGAATTCTAGTTAGAAAAAACTAAAAATGTTATGGAAAAATATAAAGATAAGGGAATGGGTGTTTGGCATAGAGATAAAGTCACCATTTGGAACTCCCACATTCCAAATTAGAGGCCCAGCCCTACTTCTGATTCCAGTTTCCTGCAAATGTGCACCTTGGGGAGTAACAGGTTCAAGTCCTGGGGTCCCTGCCACATACATGGGACACTCAGATTGAGTTCTGAGCTCCCAATTTCAGCCTAGCCCAGCCCTGATCATTTTAGCTATTTGGGGAGTGAACCAGCAGGTGCAAGATTCTCTCTCTCTCTCTTTCTTTCAAATAAATACATAAAAAGTTTTTAAGAAAGGTTTTAACAATGTTATGGAAACAGCTAGTACCTCATAACTCATCTTTCCTTCTACTGTCTTCTGAAATCACATGCATTTCACCTGTGCAAGTTTTTATCATTTTACCCCGTGTGTATGCATGAAATTACATGTAATGTACAATAACGTTGTGTGTTTAGATGTGTAAGGCATGTAGTATAAATCCATTTGACCTTACCTTCCCCATGGAACATGACACTTTGGTCAGAAAAAGCTGTCTTCAGATACATAAATTATACCCCTAGGTTTAAGTCCTCTGACACGTGTGAGTTTAACTATGCAAAAAACTCATATAGTTAAGTAACAGATCCCCCACAAGGCAAAAACTATTGTGTATCTTAAAGTATGTATTTTTAGCATCTTTCATATAGGTGGCATACTTCTTAAACAAAGATAACAAACTGACATAATAAAACGAGAATGGAAATATAAACAATGCCAAGTATTATACACAGAGAACCCAGCAGTAAAACATCATGAGAATCTAGCACCAGCAAGGCCCACCAAGGGGAAACAAGTCCATTGCTCTCAGATTCCTGTCCTGCTCAGCCTCCAGGGCCAGTGCCCATTCACCGCTTGAACCTTCCAATCCCGCTGTCCCAACATGCTCCATCTCCTGTGCTCACAAAGCCTCTGTGTCTGCTCTCAGCCCAGCTCTAAGCTCTGCCCCAAGGATATGCCAGGGGAAGCTCCCCCTCTTCTTTTGCTTGAACCCCACTTCCACACAAAGCCTCCTAACAAGCCCCACACCTGTCATTGGAGCTGTTAGCAAACGTCCTCTCTCTAAGGACAGATTACTTTGCACTTCTGACTTGTTGCATTATTCATGTTTTAGAGTAAGAAGCCAATTCCTGATGGCAAGTTATTTCTTTTAACACAACTTTTTTCATTTCCCATACCTGCTGTGTGTGACTGTAACATAAGTAATACATGCTAGTTTGAGTAACTCAGTGGCTTCTGCAGTCATGTTTCTCCAGGATTCTACTGTCAACCCCCCCATATAATGTAGGGTTCCAATTTTACAAGGGGTGAAAAGATTAACAAGAGAATCTGAAAGTGAGAGAGACCAGGAACAGTGTTGGTCTCTAACTTACCCAAACACTAACGGAAGGAAGGCCAGAAGCAACACCTCCAGGGCTAAAACAACCACAAAGCTATGATTTCCATGTGTGTTTCCTTTCATAGCTGCACAAATCACCTTTGTTTAGGTTAGCTCTTATGACTTTCACAACAGTAAGAGGTTTAAAAAAATGAGTTCATTTTTTTAAAGCCATAGATTACTATTCCTTTTATCTCTGTTTTTATCAATAGTGTCCATGAGAGAAAAAGCCAGAAAAAGGCATGGCTTTTAGAATGTCCAAAGAAGTAAATATGTGGTGACTTTACCTCTATGCCAAACACCCATTACATTTGGCCTGGTGGTTAATATGCCTTTGTTCCACCTATGGTACTTGGGTCCAATAACCAGCTCCAGTTCCTGACTGGGCGTTAAGCTGATGCAGACTCTGAGGCAGCAGTGATGGCTGATGTAGCTGTGTCCGTGTTACACACTTGGAAACTTGGATTGAGTTCCTGGCTCCAGGTACAGCACAGCCTGAGAGACATAAGCCTTATGAAGATAGCATTCCCTACAGGATCCTGCTCATCATTTTATGAGGTCCAGTAAGCTTTGACTATTTGTTGAAGTAATGAACTTAGGACCAACCAAGCTAAATATCTATAAAAAAAATAACTGGAAACACTGATAATGCAGACCTGCATGAAGACAGCAAAATGATTGGTGAGTTTGTCATAATCTATACTTGAGGCTGATGATTCTGTGTGCGTGGCTGTAAACACAGTCCACGCCCTGGATAACTCAGGGTATGGTGTAGCACCTGATAGGTGCTTTGTTTTGTAGCCACATACATGTATTGGCATCTAAAGAATGTTCTCGCTTCACACCAAGTATACAGAGTGCTTGAGATTTGGGAATCACTTCCCTTGTGTAGTTAACATCTCTTCAATGTGCCATATGTGGTGATGTGATGGGTTCAGTTGTATCCTCCACAAATTCCTATGCGAAAGTCCAAAATAGTACCACAGAATATCTGCTATATATTATTATATTATATTCAATATAATTGGATTTGAACCTCAAGTTTTTAAAGAGTGGGACCGTCATCCAACAAGGCGTCTTTCAGAAGAGGAAGCACCAGCAGGAGTGTGCCTTCAGAGAGACCATCTTGTGAGGAGGCAGCAAGAGGGCAGCTACCTGCCAGCCAAGGAGAGAGACCTTGGGAGAAACCACTCCTGACAGTGCCTCCATCTTGGAATTCCAGCAACTAGAGATATAAGAATATAAATTTTATTGTTTAGGTTGCTTAATCTATGGGATTTGTATATGACAGCCTTGGGAGACTAATACATTGCCAAAAAAAAAATTAGTCCTGGTTACTTCAAGTTCACCAATTGGCCAATCCTGAAGGCAGAAGAGAGTGTCCTTGAGGTCTGGATCTCTCAACCTCCTTGACCACAACCTTTGTTCTCTGTCACCCTACACCAAAACCCTGTCTCTTCTTCTGTTTGCCTCTGCACATGAATTACCAGTCATCCTTTAGACCACAGATTCTGGTGATGTGGAAGGGGCCCAGTAGCTTTAGATCCTGAGCATTGGGAAGGAATTAGTTTTACATGTTCTGGTCTCAGGGCACAACACCAAATGGGAAATCAAACATGTTCCGTGAAAAATAGCCCCCTGCCACCAGATCTTCTATGAGTCATTATTTAGGATGTGTATCAACTTTTTCACTATGACTGACATTGAAAAACAACCTTATTTGGTTTCCAAGAAGAGGTTTAGTTTCTTGAATTGGTTTTGAGGGATGTTCAAGAATTCATCTTACCACACTCAGAGGAATATACAGTTAAATTTGTCACAAAAGTAGATTCTTGCAACTGCTCCTGTCAGGTTCCTGAAATTGCTCTACAGTTCCCATTTCCTTCTCACTAAGGTACAAGTGATAACTGATAATGAAGGTCAATTTCTGTTTTACTTCTGCTTGAATTCCTCCCTCTCCAGTTTCTAGTGTCCATGCTGTTCTTTTCTTTGGGGAATGATAACTTCTGGCTGGATCCTTACATCTCAATCTCTGCTTATAGTCTACTCCCAAAATGTGTGCAAGGATATGTAGCAATAGATTCCTGTAAGAAATTTCATCTTGGCTACCTTAACACCCTGAAGGTGACACCTGCCTGATTTACTGATTTAGCAACATGGTTCACGAACCTTGGAAGATTATGCTAAACCTCTCATAGGAAGAGCCATGCCCAAGTGGAGAAATGGCTGAGAGGAGATATCATGGAGACATTGGTGATATTTGAAATATTTCATAATGACTAAGGCTTACAAGCAGACCAAAAACATTGATACACAGTGTTATGTAGTGATAGTGAAGCATCTTTAATAGTCATGAAAAAGACTCAAAGGACCATCAAAATTAGTCAAACAACTCCCTGTGAGGTACTACCTTTGTTTCCACCATAACATCACAGCACTTGCTACCCACTTGAGAAGTCAGTACCATTTCAGAGACATAGCCAGCCTGCCACTCATTAGACTGGTACCCTCTGGCATCCCTCACACGCTTAGCGGCATCTCTCCATCATAGTCTTAGAGCTTCATCCAGCTGCAAGAAACCTTGGTCTTGTCCTTGCCTATTAAGCAGATGAATATCTTAAGTATCTTAAGCTATGGAGAAACGGAGGTTATTTGACAAGGTCCTCATTCATTTATCCACTCATTCCACAAAAGTTAAATGAATTCTAAACATGGATCAGGCACTGAATTGATTTTAAAAATTGGATGAATAAGTGATATGAGCAAACAAATGAGTAAAGTAATGATGATCACTAATTTCTATTGTAACACAGATATGAACCATTTTCTAGTTTAACAGTGGCGACAAGGGAGAAGGAAACTCTCTCCAGTTGAAAGGGACCATGAGACATTTATATCCAAGATACCAAGACAGAACTATGCTTCAGACTCAGAAGAGATCCTTTCTTGAGATAAGAAGGAGACAAAAGAAATGTTATCAATCCACAAAGATGATAATATGTATGTCTACCTGGTTCTACCATAAACGTCTGTGTATACTCTCCTATTTTCAAACTTATCTGGTTCCTGTAACTGACCATAACCCTGAAGAGGTTAGTGTTGCAATAATTCCATTTACTCCATTAAAAAAAATCCCTGATGACTTTGCAATTTATATTACTTCTCAGCGGCTTCAGTTGCAGACTACTTGCTTAGCTCAGTGCTTTTGCTGGGTCTGTGCCTCGGTCTGGGGCTGGAACTCCTTAAACTAACACAAAAGACTAAGTTAAGTCACCAGTCTGTCAAAATAGGTTCCTTATCTTGGCACACAGGCTGAGCAAGCGAACGGTGTCACGCACAGTTAGAGAAGCCATTGTCTTGTTCAATCATTCTGTAACTTCCTTTAGTTTTCCGATCATATTCACACTTTTCTGGCACATAACTGAGGCCCACTAAGTTTTCTAACTAAATGATTGAAAAGATGAGGGGTCAGCGCTGTGGTGCAGTGGGTTCACCCTGGCCTGAAACACCAGCATCCCATATGGGTGCCGGTTCAAGACCTGGCTGCTCCACTTCCGATCTAGCTCTCTGCTATGGCCTGGGAAAGCAGTAGAAGATGACCCAAGTCCTTGGGCCCCTGCACCTGCATGGGAGACCCGGAAGAAGCTCCTGGCTCCTGGCTTCGGATCGGCGCAGCTCCAGCCATTGTGGCCAATTGGGGAGTGAACCATCGGATGGAAGACCTTTCTCTCTGTCTCTCTGCCTCTCCTCTCTCTGTGTAACTCTGACTTTCGAATAAATAAATAAAGCTTAAAAAAAAAAAGATGAGGGTGATTTGGACAGATCTCACCAAAACTTTGGATTCAGTCCTGGCCCAATATCTCAAGATGGCTGTGAGCAAACCACAGTAACATGCACAGCAAATAATCTGGAAACTCTTCATTGGAAATGAGGGGTCATGAGGTGTGCACCCTAAAAGAGAGGATACCTTTAAGGATTTGAGGACATCAGAGTTATCTAGAAGCATCCGAGGGAAGTATATAGAGAAATGCATTCATTCTGGAGTACGTTCCTTCACTAACCACAAATTCTATGAAAAAAGGGAATCACCTTATTGGCTATTTTATCCTCAGCACTGGAGGCACATACTAGTTGGCACTAAGTCTGTATTTATTAGATGATGAGCAAGTGGACAAATGGATGGATGGATGGATGAATAAGCACAAAAAGGTATATTTGGGCTCAAGTACATGCAAAACCCCATAAAAGAAATATTCAAATATGGAATGATTTGTCTTTCAAGGTTGTAAGTTTTTAAGTATTTAGAGTATTGAAAATAAATCTGATGATTTTCAGGTAGTTTTCCTTAAAAGTAAGATTTTCTTTTTTATGCACCAAATTTTCAATAAGTCGCTAAATAGTTCCTTGGCCAATTGGTTCTGAATACATAAGCTGCCTCTCCAGTGAGATTCCCCCACCATGTTGGAAATCATGCTATCAATGCAGGCCACAGGGCAATAAGCACAGAGAGATGAGTTCAACCCATCACTACTGCAAAAGGAGAATACAACAACAAGACCCCAAAGTAGGTATTCTCAATAAATTCCTTCAGCAAGGCACTTCAACAAAAAGTATGTTTTGCTTGGAAAAGAAAAGTAATTACATAAAAAGCAAATAAAACATCAAAAACTTATTGCATTAGATTTCTATTTAAAAACCACGGCAGTATGTTGACCCATTGAAATAGACTCTAATTACACACACATATTACTTTTAATTAATTTTTATTTATTAGAGGGAGAGAGAGAGAGAGCACTTCCATCCACAAGTTCATTCTCCAAATGTCCACAATGATAGGTCATGGCTGGGCCAGACTGAAGCTGGGAAATGGGAACTCAATCCACGTCTCCCGAGTGGGTGACAGGAACCCATGAACTTGTACCATCACCTGCTGCCTCTCAGGGGCTGCCCCAGGAGGAATCTGGAACATGGGGCAGAACTGGGACTCAATCCATTCACTCTTATATGGGATGTAGGTGTCCTAGTTGGTATCTGAAATGCTAGGCCAATTGTCTGCTCCAGGTATAATGTTAGATAATTCTTTCACAGATGAGGACTGATGGTCTCCAGTCTTACTGGTTAGAGTGTTTTAGGGAGATACCCTCCATGCTCCAAGAATTCTTTCTAATTACCTTATCCAATATCCAGAAAATACCCATGTTTTTATATCCCCAGCCATTACAATGCTTTTTTTTCCTAAAAAGAGAAGCAACTCTATCAAAGTCATATCTTCACAGTTAATTATAACAGGGACTCTCTCACTGAGTATGAACTAGTCAGTAATAAAATTATGTCCACTTGAGTACTGTTTAGTCAGGGCTGTATTTTTTCTATGACTTTTTTTAAACACTGGAATGTTTTTGGAAATACAATCTCCTTTATTAATGTTAAGAGCCCTGCCCGTAAACTTGAGCTCATTCTGTTGAGTCAGGACTTAACTGATAGATTCCTGAATTTACCCAGCATTTTAAATGTGGTGTTCCAAGTGCCCTTTGCCCTCAAGGAATTAAGGAGTGCATTAATGGAGTTGTCACGGTAATATTTAATAAGGAACCTCATGTAGGATTTTAGAAACTTTCCATTTGAAGGTGTCTCCTGCTCCTAAATAATACAGAAGCTATCAATATACAAACTGGGTAACATAGCAGGAGAGCGGGTAGGCCGTGCTTACTCAGCACTCCCAAGGACAATGGAATTTAAGAGGTAGGTAGGCCAATGGAAAGAAAATTCTTCAAGTTCACTGTTTTTTACTGTGTGCAACAGGTGGAATTCACAATCAAGTGAGTTGTTAATAGAACAAGTGTGACTGCAAAATAACAAGTAAGTTACGGCTAACACACATGCATGTTGTCATGCCACAAAGCCACAAGGGAAGTGACAAGAAGGAATTACAGTTATGGTGACAACAGATCTCACACCTGTTCATCTTTAATAAGTTTTATAAATCCTTTAATAGAAACAGGCCCCCTGTCTATGTAGCTTCAGCCACTGCTGATTTATAGCATTTTCTGCCATATCTATGTTTACAGTTACCTGTTGACATGCTGAGTTCCTTCAACTAGACTGAAAATGACTTAAAACTGGAGAGTTTTCTTCAGCGGTGTCTGAATCCACGTAGAGTGCTTAAGCCATAAAAAGTATTCAAGAAGCATTGCTTTCTCAGAAGCAGTAACTTCATATGTGGTGCCAAGAATAGGAGTTCTACACCTTTTTACCAACGAGAAGGAAAGAACATAAAGATGAAAAAAAGGAGAAGGAGGGTGAAGGGGAGAGGAAGAAAATAAAAGCACAGAAGAGAAGACAGACTTTGAGTGGACTTTCATAATTAAAGCAATTCCTTCGCATTTAAATGTGCTTGGGTTCTTGCTCTCACATACGGTCTGACACAAGTTTGCGTTTCACAATTGCAAAATCTGTTTCCACGTTAAGTCACCCTCACGTCCTCGGTAAGTCAGCCTGAGAAGAATGTCCGAAGACCCTCAGCAAATGTCAAAGGTATACCTTCAAAACTTTCCATCCTCTCTCCATATCCTGAATTCACTGTGCGGCTGAATTTCCTGAATAGTGGCTTTCATAACTAAAATAGCCACTTTTACAAACACCTCCTCTAGAAACTAGCTACTGGGATTATATAAAGTCACATATTGTTTCCACTGCTGTATTTATTTATTTATGTTTTTGACTGAATTAAGTTAATAATTCAGTGTTTTGCAATCAGAGCTGCTGATAATCAAGTCTCCATCTTGAGCTATCCTTGCAAAGGTTATCCTTATCAGAGCAGCATGGGCTGTACCAGGTCTGGTCCTTAGCCAGAATGTAATTAGCAGGGTTTGCTCTTAGATTCTCTCCCTATCAAAGCCACAAAACCTTTTCTCCTTGGATTTCCACTCTGAGCACCTTTCATGGCTCCCTTCATGTTTGCAAATATCCCATCTCTTCCTCGCCGTGGGTTTATCCTGGTGATTATTTGAGTTACTGCAAAGTGCCTGACAATGATTTAAGGTCAGATTTCTTCCAGTTGCAATTTGTACTTTTTTAACAGTGACTTTGGATGTTTTGTACTTTTGGTGACCTATACTCTCATTTTTTGCCCAAGACTTTCTTCATTTTAGCATCAACAATCCCATGCCTCAGGAAATCTTGCTTCTTGGGCAAACCAGAAAGACTGTTTACCGTACTTGCTCTGGCAGGACTGTACAAAATGACAACCAGGAAGTGTTCAGCCTTCTATCTCAAATTGTCACTCTCAGCTGGAGATGTTGTCAGCCTGTTCTTCCAAGCGCATGTTCGTAATTATCTGTTGCAGCTTCTCAGGAGTCCCCAGCATCCTGTCTTCCTTCCCCACACACCACACCCTTCAACATGAATTTCCCAGATGCTCTGCCTAATGCATTTCTGGATGATGTAAGCCTTCCAATGTTTTAGTTTGTGCAATAACGGACATTTGCTACCCACGCATCTTAGTGTTCACTATTTTAAAAACATCCAAAGGGACACACCAATGGACAAGACTCATGTCATAGTTCCCATCTGTGGCACTCAGAATATTCTTAGACTGTCTTCACAGCTCCCTATCTGTCAAAAGAGCATTCCTTTTCTAGCATCCAGATTCTGTAGGGACAACAAGAAAAAAAAAGGGGGGGAAATCATCCAAAAGTGTGACACACCAGTGTGGCCTACCATTAGTTCCAATGAGCAGAGTTTGACTTCATAAACCATGTCTGTGGTTAAAGGACACCGTAGGGATGGAGTTCTAGCTAGCATTAAGTGGTCATCTCTCTGCAACCCTACCATGCTGTGCCTCAGGATGTGTCTCTGACATCCATGACTTTCTGAAGAGAAACAAGGAGGCAAAAATGTTAACAGGTTCATTGCAGGATTATTTAAAATACATGTCAACCAAGTAGTTGAATTCAACATCTAAAACCATCAAAATTAATCAAGTCATTTTTCTTACATGGCTGAATCCTCCACACCCCTCAACTCATGTTTTGAAGTGTTGAACTCTAGGCCCTAAGAATGTGACATATTTAGAGACTGGGTGTTCCAGCCATAATTCAGTTAAAGTGAGGACAACAAGGTAAGCCCTAATCCAATCTGACTCCTGTCCTTTAAAGACACGATGACATGACACAGACGTGAAAGGGAGACCACAAAAAGGCAGAGGGAGAAGACAGCCCTTAAGCCGAAGAGAGGCCAGGAGCAAGTCCTTCCCATATGGCTTCTAGAAGAAATTCTGACAAAATCTTGCTCTTACTTCTCACCTCTAGAATTAGGAAAAATAAATGTTTGCTGTTTAAAGTACTCAGCCTATGGTACTTTGTTATGGGAGCCCTAGTAAACTAACCTAATTTCCCAGTAGACAAACACAGCATATACTAAATGATCACAGCAGAGCTCTCATTAAAGATGGAGTTAATCTTGCTGTAGGCAGAACCCAGGGTGGATGGACTAACCACTGGCAGTGGGTTTGCAGCTATCACATTGGAACTAAGACTCTTGGTCCTAAGCACATGGTGACTTCTCATCAATTATAACAGAATGCAACAACAAGGACCTCTAAGGGTATGAAAGAAAGACCTCAGAATTTGCTTCTTCCAAACTCTCAGTGAAAACAGCTTTAGGAATATAATATCCAATGCTCATTCCTCTTCCTCCCAGGAATAACCTTGATCACTAATCTCTTCTTTCACCACAACCCACAGCCTCCCACTCAACCTTGAAAAACATGACATTGTGATCTTCCCTCGGAAAGGATTTCTCCATGCAGTGTCAGTTATGACTATAATTAAACCAACATTAACTGGAACCGTATTTTGAGAAGAAGGATTAAGGGTTCTTCAAAATGAACAAACAGGGTGAATTGTCTGTAGGTGTGAATTCTATCTTAATAGAGCAGTCTTAGATTTGTAAACAAAAGAGCAAATGTGCCCCCTTTTGTCTGTTGTAGCCCTTGCATTTTGCCCTCTTTTCAATGATCGAGAATTATTTACTTCATTTCAGTCCTTCTCACTGTTCCTCTTTCCCCTTGGGAGGCATTTAGGGGTTATTACTTATTCAAAAGAGGATTTAAGCGTCTCCAATGGAAAGTCAGATGGCTGAGAAAGATGGAATACCACTGACCTTGGAAGTATTTTTGTAATTTCATTCAGGAAATGTTCAAAGGAATTTGCCGTGGTGTTTTCACTAGTGAGTCATGACACTCAAGCCAAGATCTCCAATTTCCCCAATCAGGCATTCTGGGAAATCCTGTTGTATTTCTCTCTCCCCCTTAGTTTCTTTCAGGTGAGGTGCATGTACTAAGTGGCAGGTCCTTGCTTGAGAGTAAACTAAGTAAATGGCCAGGTGCACCTGCAGGTCTGAGTGGATTTTTAGATAGTTTTCTCATGTCATCAGCAATATATAGTCTATAGAGGATATACTTGACCTGTGAAATTCCATTTACTTCGCATTTGACTTAGTGCAGGAGTTTATAAAAACAGGTCCATTGTCCTTTCTCACAGTGCTGAGGTTAATCTCATATCAAATTTTGAGTGAAAAATTACTGTTGGCTTCCCCACCACCTCTTCTGTTTTCTAGGAATAGATCTGGACTTCACCTGATGATCAATGAACCCCAAACTCTCAGGAGCACATGATCCAGTCCTGTGTACTCAAAGGACCATGGGTTACCCCATCACTGAATGGCTGAGTGATAAACACTAAACCTAAATTGTCCAATCAAAGCAATTCAACCTGTGGGGCTTTCAGAAAATAGAGTTCCCTCACAGCAGCAAAACCAAGAGCAAGCATATAAAGTAACAGTGGGCCACAGCCCTTGACCTCACACATTTGGGAATGCAGGCCTTCATCTAAGTCTTGGTCTAGCTCTTTCTTCCGTCTCCGGTGCTGAACCCAAATCATAGATCAGGCTGGACTTGGGGGACAAAGGGACAGTCGGAACCTGTATTTGTCATTGGCAACCATGGATCTCCTCCAACTCCAGCCTCACAGTTGTAAGTTAACCTGCAGACATGCTAGTCGCTCTGTAAATGGCACTCATGCCTGGCCGGGATTTGGAGAAGACAGAAGAGATCCTGGGAAACTTCTGCTGTGGGTCACTCACAAGCCAAGTCAGGGGTTGCCATGGGGCCTGGTCTGTCTGCATCTTCCAAGAGCAGCAGTGGCTACTGCTCCATGGAGAACTTCTCAATCTTACACAGATAGGTCTGTGGCCAGCTCAAACCAGAAATATTCAGTGAAGGGACATATGGGAAGCATTGTTCCGTTTAGCCAGTTAGACATATTATGGAGCCAGGATACCCTGAAACAGGGCTATGAGGAAATGTGAGGCTGGAACTGCTGCAGCTACTTTGTCCTCATGAGGGAGAACACAGAGTTACTAGACTGCTTTGTGGAATCCAAGGATGAAATTAATACAGTCAGAGGCAGGGATGGGGAAAAACAATGCAAACCAAAAGTTTGATCACATGCTTCAATCTTGAATCCTGGAATGCTGAGTTTTCAATGGTGAGGGACAATATATTCTTTGTACTTCAGCCAGTTTGAACTGGGTTTTCTGACACTAGGTCCCAGAGTTACTGTTAAATTACAGTGTGACATAGGGCCATTGTATTTGCTTTAATTGAAGTCCCTTTTCAACTTTAAAAATCAGTCTTACATTGCATTAAATCCATCCTGGTAAAAAGCAAACATTAGTTAATTTGTATAATATTATTGATCAAATAAAGAATGAGAGACATGTTCCATTTTTTTAAAAGACCAGCAGAAATGGAGCAAAACAAAGATTTCATGTCTGTGAATAGGCTTTTTTGTGGTAAATTCTCCCTCCTCCCTTCATGCGTTCCTTGCTTTCCAAAGTGATATACAGAGGCTGTACAAGCATTGAGTAATATTTCCTGAGAATCAAAAAAAAAAAAAAAAAAAGGAGACTTAGAGTCAATCTTTCTACTATGCTAAGTACCATGACAGCTAATTCTATTATGCCATAATAATTATTATCACATAATAACTCTATCATGCCATTGTAAGGTCAACATTATGCCAAACTTGCCAATCTCAAATTCTGCTTGAGAGCCTGAATTAGGTACCATTGATTTAAGACTAGTAATTTTGTTGTAAGTTTTGGTTTTCAACTACTGATCATATTGATATGAGTACATTAAATGACCTAATATGTTGCAGTGGTTTAAGTGTGGCTTTATGTATTAGCACCCTTTATATTCTACTGCTAGGCACCGAAGGATAGAGTCATGATATCTTCAGAAGCAGAAAGAGGAAAGCCATGGATTTTCCAGTCACTCACAGAAGAATAACTAACAAGAAAATGATGGAAGAAGGTGGGATATGGAGCTGGTGTTGTGGCAGAGTGCTAAGCTACCACCTTTGCATTCCCTGTGGGTGCTGGTTCAAGTCCCATCTGCTCCACTTCTGATCCTGCTCCCTGTCAATGCACCTGGAAAGGCAGTGGGAGACGGTCCAAGTATGTGTGCCTCTGCCACCCACAGGGGAGACCTGGGTGGAATTCCTGGCTCCTACTTTGAACCAGCCCAGCCCTGGCCCTTGTAGTACCAAACAATAAGTTTAACAGATGTTTGGCCAATAGAAAGAAGCAAGCCTTTCTCCAAAGGTATTTTACAGTAGCAAGTGCAAGGTTGTACATATTTTGCAAAATTATTTGATAAATGTCCCAAATTATTGTTAACCTGTTTTTTCCCAAATAAATTCATACCCTAAATGAGACATGAGGCTTTATTTTATCTTTACCATAAGCATTATTTTCTCAGACATTTATTAACTCATTATGAAAAAGTCCTGTTTACATAAAGCAAGCTGTCATATAAAGTGATTTTTAGTTCTTTTTTGTGATTTAAAAAATAATTTCTGGACCCACTGTTGTGGTATGGCAAGTAATGATGCCATCTGTGATGCCAGTATGCCAAATGGGCACTAGTTTGAATCCTGACTACTCTATTTCCAAACAAGCTCCCTGCTTATGGCCTGGATAAAGCAGTGGATAAATCAGTGCCTGGGCTCTGATACCCACTTGGGAGAACCAAATGAAGCTCCTGGCTCTTGGCTTTGGCCTAGACCAGCCCTAGCTGGTACAGCTGAGTGGGGAGTGAACCAGTGGTTGGAAGATCTCTCTCTATCTCAGTCTCTGTTCTCCCCCCACCCCATAACTCTGACTTTCAAGTAAGTAAAGAAATCTTTTAGAAAAATAAAGTAAAAATAATTTCTGTGACCCATACAACGACATGGAATTTTATTTGCCTGAAAGTAATCTTTACTGTTTAATAAAGATTCTTCTGTTCTGTAGCACAGTGGTCCTCAAAGTGCTTGGACAACTAAACCGTGAGTCAACCGGTAACTCATTCGAAATACAAATTCCCAGATTCCACCTCAGAACTGCTGAGTCACCGACTGCTGGTGGTAGCGCCCAGTGGCTGTTCCAACCATGCCTTCAGGTGACTCTGTTGCTGCTAACATCAGAGCCGCTGCAGTAAAAATCACCGGGTCTGAGGCTTCTGCAGACACGTCCGTGCCTGGCCCTATGCCTTGGGTAACTCCTCATTCAAACACGGCCGAATGTCTAAGAGCTCTAATGCTACCCTGCAGTTTGTTTGAGTAGTTGGTGGCTCTCAAATATGAGGATGTCTTCAAACTGTTCAAGGGAAATGCTTATTATGAAAAAAATCTGCATGAATTATGAATTTCAATTTATTTTTGCATTAACACAAACTTGCTTTTCAATTCAATTTTCCGTGAACTTTCTGAGATCCTATTATGTTATATAATTAATTTCTTGAAGTGAAGAACGAATGAGATACTATCTGTCAAGTACTTTTGATGCTTGCGGATCTGGGGTATAGGGGTTAGGCTTCTTATATAGAGGACATTGTTTTAAGGTGGATAATTGATATCCACATTATTACTCTTAATTTACATTCTTTTATCTCATAACAAAACAATAAACAATACCTGTCTGTCCTATTTGTTATACACTCATAGACTTTCTTTTTTTTAAGATTTTATTTATTTGAAAGTCAGAGTTAACACAGAGAGAGAAGGAGAGGCAGAGAGAGAGAGAGAGAGAGAGAGAGAGAGTCTTCCATCTGTTGGTTCACTCCCCAATTGGCTGCAATGGCTGGAGCTGCGCCAATCTGAAGCCAGGAGCCAGGAGTTTCCTCTAGTCTTCTTATGTGAGTGCAGGGGCCCAAGGACTTGGGCCATCTTCTACTGCTTTCCCAGGCCATTGCAGAGAGCTGGGTTGGAAGTGGAGCAGCTGGGATTTGAACCAGTGCCCATATGGGATGCTGGCACTGCAGGCAGTGGCTTTACCTGCTAAGCCACAGCATCAGCCCAGTAGACTTTCAAACTTAAGGGGCACGTGAAGGTTACCCAGTTCAAGCTCATTTTACTCATGAGAAAATAAAGCCAGAGAGGCTGGCAGGCAGGCCTGAGGTCTCACAGGGATTGATGAGCAAGGATCAGAAGCCGTGTTTCTTGACTCCTGGACTAGTGTTTTGCAGGGGAAATCATACATGATGTTGTCACCACAACAATGCTGACTCTGGAATTTTCTCCCGGGACATCACTATTTATGACCCAGTGCTAATCTCTATCCCTCCCCCCTTCTTACACCAACAGATGCTATTATGCAAAATTGCAAATCTGTCTTTATTAGGCTTATAACTTTCTGATGTAGAAAAATAGAAAATCAATATAAAATATGCAAGCAAGTCCACACATTTTTACAATTCAGTGATATTTTGATGCTGAATATCAGATACACATCAGGTGCTGGGTATGTACAGATTTAAGTTTCCTGTGTGTGTGTTGGTCACTTTTTAGTTTGTATTGTGGTCTGCCTAATGCTACAAATTAATCTCCAAAAACTTTTCAGGGTATTCTACTTTGAAAAATGTTTTTGGATTATGCATCAAGCATGATAGTGACATAGGATCTTTGAAACTTCACTTTCACTGAGCTGTATAGCAGGATTTGAGGGAAATCCCATGTAGAAGCACAAACAAACTATATGTGAATAAGTAGGAAAAAATCTAATTAGAAAAGCCTCCAGTGACATAAATTATTCACTATTATCCTTTTCTGTTACACTGTTTCAAATATTCCCTGGGCATTACATATGTAATATTTTTAAATTTATTTATATAAATGGAACATATTTCATGTATTTCATATATTTAGGTTTTTTTTAAAGATTTATTTTATTTATTTAAAAGACAGAGTCACAGAGAGAGAGAGATAGAGACAGAGAGAGGTCTTCCATCCGCTGGTTCACTCCTCAGTGGCCAAAAGCCAGGAGCCAGGAGCTTCTTCCAGGTCTCCCACGTGGGTGCAGGGGCACAAGGACTTGGGCCATCTTCCACTGCTTTCCCAGGCCATAGCAAGAGAGCTGGATTGGAATAGGAGCAGCTGGGACTAGAACTGGTGCCCACATGGGATGCTGGTGCTTCAGGCTGGGGCTTTAACCACACTACACCACAGCACCGGCCCCTCATATATTTAGTTTTAAGAACATAATGATGCTTCCTGTCCTCCATCCCCCCAACTTCCTTTTATAGTAATGCATCGTCAAAAGCCAGGTCTTTAATTCTAGTTATGACATTGCACAATTCTGAATATACTTTCTCTATTGTATGTTCATATCACAAATCCTAAGCTGTTAACTACCAGCAGTATTTCTCAATCCGATGCCATCCCTAGAATTAGCATTCTGTTCTTTCCATAAACCTACTTCCCCCCAAGTTCAAATCTGCATACAGCGGTTTTTACATTACAGGGCATGAAACTGTGTGTTATTCATTATTGTCTCGAACAACTGTTGACCCTCGGTTGAGTGAATCTCCTTATTGTTTCATTAAAGGCTTTTACAGAGGGAAGAAGAGGATCTCTGGCTTACATAGAAATTGTGGCTACGTCGCAAGCTGGCCACTGAATTAAATCTCATCCTAATTCTTATGCCATTATATATATGAAAAGCCTGAGGAACTGAAAAGAACCATCTAAGCTTCTCCCATTTCTGAAATGCTGAAAGAAGTTTTAGATTAATGGCTTTTGATGCTTTAATGATGTCAAGGATGAGATGTAAGTGCCTCGTTAATTCCATTGACTTACTGCCAAATATTAAAGACAGCCCACGATTACAAAGTTAATCTCTGCTTATGAAAATCCATTTTAGCAAGAAAAATGTAAAATTCAGATAAGTGGAAACTCTTTATTAAAAAAAAAGTCAGAATAAATGGATAAGAGCGTTTCAACCTGGGTTTAAAATTCCGCTTGATGAATTTGTTAGAAAACTTAAAAAATCATTATGTGTGTTAATATGTCAACCGTCATTTCATCCTTAAGTTACAGAGATCATGTTTTACATTTAAAAAAAAAAAACTCTTCTTAAAATTCACAACCACAATCACATTGCATGCTGCCATGCAAACCTGAAGTGATGTATTCAGTCTTACCACACTCATCAACTGGCGAGGTCTCTATCTTCTCAAGTCTGAGAGCCTGGGCAAACCCAGTTATTAATTCTTTAATTTCTTTCCTGAAATTCTCTGGCTTACTGACATGCTAGCAAGACCCCAACAAAGTCACCACGGGAAACGACTGTGTGCTGACAGTACTGGTTGGTTTCCCCCAGCCCCTTTCTCCCTGGATTAGTTTCAATGAACGTAAACTCTGTCCTCAAATGCATGTTCTAACGCCTCAGTCAGCCTGCGTTCTGTTTTTATCAAGTGGAAATGTTGGAAACCTCCAATGTTGTTCTTCAAACCTAGTGCCTATCACCTTTTCCATGCCCCAGGGCGGGTGTGTTATAAGCTCACAATAGCATCTGCCTTTTACTTTTTAGACAAATGCATGCGATTTATTCAGGAGCCCCAGACAAAACCCATTTTCAATTCGCTCACATGAGCTCTGAGAGTCTTTCCATCTTGAGTCCTAGTGGCCTACACGTGGCCTCTTCTGCTCCATCCTCACCTCCCCGCTCCCCCCTCAACTCTTCCTTTATCCTTCCATTCCCTCACCCCTGCTCTCTGTGCTCCTGAGCTCCTTCCCGGGGCCTTCTCCTCGTGTACCCTGCCCAGACTGGGTGCAGTGCCTGATCTTCCCCCAGGCTCACCAGTGCTTTCCTAGGCCTCTCCTCTTTGATGGGATGGCTTATTTACACCTCTGTGCCACTGCAGCATCGTTACAACTGTCATCTTACACTCATGATATACCATGTTTTATTCTCTGACTCTATCACTGACATCAGGATCGTGTTATTTTCCACATTATCAACCTCAAGCATCCTGTGCCCATCACAGGAGAGGTATACTATCTATCAACTGACTGACAATAGATGAATGAGTGCCCAAACACACACAGAGACACTGGTAGGGCATCAGCAGATTAAATTTGTACGTAAGTAAATTGTGCCTTTCTGAACTGTGCCAGTCTTTAAACCGATGCTGACTTGAGTTACTAATAATCTGTGTCTTACAAGAGCTTTCTAGAACACTCTGATACATACACACACACACCCTACACGTGTCTGCACACACAAAGATTTCAGTATTTTGGTTAAGACTATCATACTTAGAACTGACATTTAACCTGTCTGTGATGATACATACCACATCGAGTACCTGGGTTCAGTCCCCAGTTCCAGCTCTTGATTCCAGTTTCCTGCTAATGCAGACCACAGGAAGTAGCAAAGACCTGGACTCCTGCCACCCATGTGGGAAGCCTGGATTCTGGTTCCTGACTTCAGTCTTGGCCCAGCCCTGGCCATTGCAAGCACTTGAGAGTGAACCAACAGATGGAACTCTTTCTCACTCTTTCTCTTCCATGCTCTCTGCCTCTCAAATAAATAAAAATGAAAAGAAAAAGACCACCATACTCAACAGTGGTAAAATAGGCTTTTGGTTTTTATTATTTTGTTAAATCCCCCTTGTTATTAAAAATCCCTGAGCTCTCAAGAATGACTTTACATGATAATCCTGGGGAGGTAGTCCATGTCGGGACTGAAGGAAGTAGATGAAAATGCCAGGTCCATGAGTGAGTGTGTATCAGAACTCTGTTGATTTCCAATGATGTCATGTTTTCCTTTCAGCAGTCTTTCAAGAGACAATGAAAAAGAGAAGCAATTCCTCCCATTTCCCCGTGAGTTTCCCCTGTATTCTTGTGTGTTGAATACCCTGCTATGTGGTGTGATTTAAAAAAAAAAAAAGAACCAAGTTCTGCAAGCTTTTTCTTGGGTCTGTATTATTTAGCCTTGAGCGTCCTCACTAGTCCTGGGTTTCTCCACATGACAGCTGGGAGTAAGACTGGCAGCCTCTCTGAGCATTGAGAGAGAGGGGAGAGAAAGGACGTGCACTGGGATTGACCTCCCTGGTGTGCTTTCTTCTGGGCTCTGCTTGCCTGCCTCCTGGTGAAACACCCATTGTTCAGAGGGCCTCCAATTTATCTAGACACCTGTTGACAGGATTATTCTAAAAGTTGTTTTGTTTCTCCCCATCCCTCAAAATACTCCCTCGATTTCTATACTTCCTCAAGCGTGGAGAACGCTGTTGCTCTCAGAACCTCTAAGGAATTGACAAGTATCAAAGCTCCAGTTAGGTCTCTCCATTGTTTGGTCACAGGGCTTTTCATTCTGTCCAAAGCTGACTGAAGATCTTGTAGCAGGTCTCTGTAGCCATTTCTGTAGTGAGCACTCCAAGTACAGAGAAAATCATAGGCAGGTTTCCACATCATCTATAAAGAAAAAGTATTAGACTGGAGTAGTGTGCAGAGAAACAGAGGGAAAAATATATTTAAAGAAAAAAAAGAATTTTAAGACCTGTGAAGATGCAAACAAATGGAATACTCAATTATGCATGGGTTTAATGGCAAATATGTTTTAGTAACCACCAATTTTCTGTTATTATATTTCTGCTCTTAAACTAGAGTTTTAAAATGATGATTTTATATATAAGATCTTTAATCTTTTGTATTGATCCATCCACTTTGCATTCCTCATGGTCTTGATATGAATATAAAATGCCTTGCACAATTTTTTGATGAGTACAAATATTATAGAGAGAAACTTTTCATTCTCCAAGATACTTGTAAGTTTAAAGTAATAATCATTTTCTTATATGCACCTTTGGTGAAGTGTCTAACACCACATTTCATAATAAGGAGCCAGACTGTGTATTTCACACTTTTAAGTCATTTTACTCAAACAAGGAAAAATGTAGCCTGATGATCAAGTTAAAATGAAAGCAAAAATATAGTTGCCTAATTCAAAAAATTACTTTGATGACACATTTTTGACCAAAAGAAAGATCAATATTCGATGCTTTTTCATTTTGCATTCCCTAAGCACCTACCCATACCAATGACGTCACTGTTTCCATAGAAATAACTGTACGTCAAAGGAGAACTTCACATGCAAGCGTGTATGTGATGGTAACCAAGGCAACCAAGCTCAGAGAGAATAGAGACAAACGCAGACCCAATCAAACAACCGATGGCACACACACACACACACACACACACACAGCTTAAAATGAATGTTCTACAAGAAAACAACAAAGTGAACCATATGCTTTTAATTGGAATAGCTGGAATATAAACTTTATTACTCATTACTTATTTGGATTTCCAAAACTAATTCAGCAGTGATTCCATCACTTGAAACTGTAAAATCACAGCATCAGAGCTAAATACTAGGAGAATTACTCTCACATTCGCAGTAATAGTACATAAGGCAGGGCCTCCTGATGTAGTTTTTTATCCTTTTCCAATATCCTCAGACAGCCTACAATTGAAATATAAAGCAGTGAAGACCTACATAAGCCATTCCATTATATTTTGCTTCTATCCACAAAAAAGGCTCAAGTGGTCATTTGAGGCTATTTGTCCAAAAGGACACTCCCGTGGAGCCATGAACACCCAAATCCTCACCCGTCTTATTGTAGACAAAGAAAGATAATTATCAAAATTATACCATATCAGGCTTTATGATGTAGCAACAGAAGTTATCTGTGATTTTTATATGGAAGACTGACCCACACCGGGATCGATAGAGAATTCTACCTGTTATCATTGATAGAATGTCAATGAGGTGTCTTCTGAGGAAGCCCAATCTCCCAAGTCCAGGTCACCATTCATAGCTCAGCAATGGAAGGTGATTGGAGACATTAATAGAAACTTTCTATCAGGCTCAATCTTGGCTGTCACTGCTCAGATGCAAAGATGCATTAAACAAACATTGTTCTGTAGGGGGTATAACCTCACTGTCTGGAAAAGCCCTGGGACCATTATTCTTCATTGCATTCCCTTAAAATCTCTGAGGTTTGCTCCACTAGCTGGTGCATTATTTTTCAATTTGTCATGCATTGCTTAAAATCATGGGTTTTACAACCAACAGCTTCTAAGACTCTTCTAAATCCCTTAGTGATTGAATCAAACAAAGGATGCACTAGGAACATTTTATGATAAACAGCAATTGAGAGCATTTCAGTAACAAGGTGATAGCATAGTAGTCGATTAGCATAAAGTATTGCAGAAAGCAATTGACTCTTACGGATTACAAATGAGTAACTTTGGAGTTGTTCTCTATTGTGCAGATTCATGTGCCTTTATAGGCAGGAACAGCCAAAATGGCCCCACTGACTTTCGTGGGCGGAAGAGCTCTGTATCATCTGTCTTGCTGCAGTGCTATGAAAGGTGGTGTGCGACAAAGCCCTGAGGCACACTCAATCATGAAGCAGCTTCTCAGCGCTATTGGGGGCAGGAGCCATGCCCACGTGTTGCAGAAATTAGGAACTACAGATGCAGGAGGGGGCCAGCAACACAAACACTCAGCCACGGAGGCAGAGTGCTGCAGACCACCCCCCTCACGTTTTGCAAGCTGCCCTGACCACAGAACACTGCAGCCATCTCTTGCAGTCCAGGGAGCTCTGGCCATGTTGCTGAATTCTGGACCCTGATGAAGGACTCCGAATGTATAATCAGACTGCCCAGATGTCCCGTGAATTAGTCAAAATGCAAGCAGGATATTGTCCTAGTTTTTTTTTGAGATTCCCCTAGAATCTATACCATAATCTGGCTAAAAAGAAGAAGAGCTTTGGACTGAAAACACATCAGTGGTTAAATTGCATGACCTGTACTAAAATATGTGCATATTTTGCTTTCTATTTTATTTGTCATTGCAGCAAGCTAAACGTGAATACTCCTTTGGTACAAATTTTGATCTGCTAGAAACTTAACACACATGCTAGAGAAACATTATTGTAGCACACTTACAATGAAAAATTCAATACAAACATGGCTGTTCATTAATCAACTATTTCACTTATTTAATGAAGATTTATTGAGTATTGTGAAAAGGAATTTTATTACAGTAAGGAATAAAATGATAAATATAGTGTGAATCTTTCTTTTAGAAATTTGTGGCAAAGAAGGGAGACAGATACTGTACAAACATTACCTCAAGGGGTGAATAGACAAGACTTGGTAATTAGGAAAAACTTAAAAATTGCTTGTATGAATTATTTTGTTTTAAATGTTTATTTTTATTAATTTGAAAAGCAGAGAGACACATAGAAAGAGACAGATGGGGTGGGGGGTTTGAGAGATAGAGAAATCTCCTACCCATCTGTATACTTCTCAAATGCCTGCAACAGGCAGGATTGGGCCAAGTCAAAACCAGGAGCTGAGAACTCAATCTGAAACTCCCAAGTGGATGTCAGGGACCCAGACACTTAAGTCATCACCTGCTGCCTCCCAGGGTGCAAAATAGCAGGAAGTTGCAGTCAGGAACAGAGAGTGGACTTGAATCCAGGCGCTCCAGTATGGAATGCAGATGTTCCAAACTGTGTCTTCACCACTAACCCAAATGCTACCCTAGCAGTTTCCCATGGGGAGTCCAGGGCCACCCTGCATAAGGAGCAACCACATAGACAATCCCTTTGCATGTTTTTTCATGAGTATAAGAAAAAGAAGAGATTGTTCTGATGACCAAGGGGCATCGGTGCTGTGCTGTAAAGGAAGATAAGCTTTGGCATCAAAGTGCTGTGTCCTTATCTGAGTTCCATGACTATCAAATGTACCAATTTGAGTAAACTCGTCAAGTTATGTGAGCTTCAAAATTTTTTAAATCTATTAAACATGGATAACACTTTCTGAGTCTTGAATGTTCATCTGGCATCTCATAAAGTGTCTGGAATATAGTTTGCATTGATAGAATTAAAAAGGGAGAGAACGATCCAACGTGGGAAGTGAGATACACAGCAGACCCATAGAATGGCAGATGTCCTAAACAGCACTCTGGCCTCAGAATCAGCCCTTAAGACACGTGGATCTGGCTGAAAAGCCCATGAGAGTATTTCAGGCATGGAAAGCCAAGACACTCTGGCAAAAAACAAAACAAAACAAAAAAAACACACAACAACAACAATGACCTAAATGAAAGATCTCCGCAAGTGAGATCCCAGTGGAAAGAACAGGTCATCTGAAGGGAGGAGAGAACTTCCACTTTGACTATGACCTTGTCTAATATGATCAGAGTCGGTGAACTCAAAAGGCTTCTATAGCCTTGGCAACACATGACAAGAGCCTAGGGTGATTACTGATGCCATAAACAAGAGAGTCAATTTGTTAAGTCAACAACAGGAGTCACTGTGCACTTACTCCTCATGTAGGATCTCTGTCCTTAATGTGCAGTACATTGTGATTTAATGTTATAACGAGTACTCAAACAGTATTTTTCACTTTGTGTTTCTATGTGGGTGCAAACTATGGAAATCTTTACTTAATATATGCTAAACTGATCTTCTGTATATAAAGAGAATTGAAAATGAATCGATGTGAATGGAAGGGGAGAGGGAGAGGGAAAGGGGAGGGTTGCGGGTGGGAAGGAAGTTATGGCGGGGGGAAGCCATTGTAATCCATAAGATGTACTTTGGAAATTTATATTCATTAAATAAAAGTTAAAAAAAAGACACGTTTTCAAAAATAAAACCATGAGCTATGCATACTAAAAAATTTTTTTTGGTAGTATATGTAGGAAGGGTGCTTTTTGGCAGGTACAGAATAAGGAGACTAGTTTGTTTATTGCTATATTTTTATTTGAGGGCAAGAGAGACAGACAGACAGATAAAGCAAGCTCCCATAAACTGGTTCACTCCCCAGCTGCCTGCATTGACAGTGAGCGCTGGGTCAGCCTCAGGCTGGGCTAAATGCCTGTCCCTAGGAGGCCAGTTTCAGTCTTGGTGGGTGTGAGTTAATGGAGGTAAGGGCACCTGATAAGAATTTGGGATGAATAAATGATATCAAAGGAACAGTGAGGGTTTAGCATCACTCATGCTATATGAGGGTGAAAGACATGCCGATAGAGAAAAATATGAAGGAAGAGAGTACATGGAAGAAAACTGCAGCCCTCAGGTAGGTCTACTATTAGTGGGTATGGGTATGAAATGGGCACAAGGTTAGGATGGAGAGAAACAGAATCAGAGTGATGGACAGTGAATCAGTGCGCTGCAGGTTGCAAAAGCCAAGTGCTGAGAGCCTCCTAAGGAGGACACCCTGTGACTTGCTGGCACCAACTCACACAAAGCCCAGAGTTGTCGTTCATCTACCCTCCCATGTCAGGTGCAGTTACACCATGTACTAGCTTAAAACCATCAGTGTTGGAAGCATCTACTCCATGGAGAAGACTAAAAACTATTAACCAGACATTTTCTCCCTTAGAGACATGGTTAATAGAC